AACATATGAGAAATCAATAAATACAAACCTTTAGAGACACCAGCAATCTAATACATACACACCCAGGAATTATAGGGTTTCTTTGGTAAGGCAGCGGTTTCAGCTGGTCTCTAAAATTTAGCACGTTCTTAAAAAGGTCCTATATATGGTAAAATAATAAAAGCCTCCGTCGCCCTCCTTACATTCACCGGCATCATACGAAAGACCCCGTTTTACAGAAGGAGGAAATGAAAGAGTAATTAAAAAGAGAAGGACACAAATGTATCCCTATTCATGAGGGATTAATCATTCCAAATTCAAGGTGACAACTGGCAAGCTAGTCCAGTGTTGGTTGGAGAGCCCCATTGTGCAGTTTACTGGTGCCTGGTCCTCGTCTAATCTCCCATTTGCTGGCTCCCATCTCCCAGTCTGTCACCCTGCCAGCAACATGGAATTCGCAGCTCCATTTGGGACTGCTAAAAAAGGCAAGGCAGCCTAAGTGGAGGAGGTGCAGCCAATGGCGGCTGACCTGTCCAGTTGCTTGCTGTAAAATAAGGGGGTGGAAGGGGGGGTTGGTGGGGGGTGACATAACGTTGCTTTTCTACCCTCTAACACAGCCAACATGCTGCTCTCCCTCTGACACCACGACCACCTCTCACTTCCTACAGTCTGTCTAGGAGCAGCCGTGTGATAAGAGCATATCAAAGTAAATTAACTTTCCATTATCTCAGTGATTCTCTTGTCACCCACTCAAGCCACTGCTCTGCCCTAACAACAGCAGTTATACTGGAAGTCATAAGAAAAGTGTAAAAAAGATACACATTTTATCTCTGAATGTACAGTTCTCCATTGAAGACTGAATTAATTATAAAGATCACGTTAATTTCTCTAGGGAGAGCAATTCATATTCATACACATTTACATGCCTGCAGTATGTTGAATAAAGAGGCTGTAGAATCAGTTATGGGACGTCTAAAGAGCCAGAATACAAGAAAAACATACATGTCAACTGTACAGTGTGTATGTAATCGGTGCTAATGAGGAGAGAAACAAATAAACTTCACCAGGATTACAACAGCAATAGCGCTGACAGCCAGAGCAGTGGGGGAGACGGATGGAGTAAGGGAGGAAAGAAGGGGGGAGGAAACCAGAGGAGACTTATACTGAGAATTCTATCCTAAGCTAGATCCTCTAAGCAAACGAGTTGTGGGATTTGCCATCCCCTTCCAAAAATAACCCAAAAAGCATAAAAACATCTGTAGTGTAGGCACGTCTAATATTAAGAAGCAGCCGCGTAAACAGTCCCAAAGATCTGCTGGGGAATGCCACAAACTATGTCCTCTGTCCTGTTTGTGAAATATTTCATTTTTGTTTTCACCACTTTCCCGCAGACTGCCTCATTCACCTCTACGTCAGACATTACATTTCCCAGGAGTCTTTAAAGCATTGTCATCGGCTGTTAGTCTTATATACTTATGTGCTGAGAGAGCAATAGCAACACAAAGTGAAGATTTTTCAGACAAAATAAGTCATGCACCTTTTAACTTAATGTCTTATCTTAACCCTGCATTGTGCTCAACGAAAGACACCCTCAGGGTAACCGATGAGTCTTCCCTGTGTGACTGCTGTAAGTAAATGCCAAATGCTGTTTCTAGAAAGAAGCCCATGCTCTTTATTCTGACTGCTCTCATCTCTCACTGCTCGATTACATCTTGCAGCTCAGTTTTCGGCAGCAGATTGAGGTCTGGTGACACTGACCCCGAGAATCAAATCAGCCCAACTAGATATTTATCAGAGCAATCGGCAGATGATTAGATGATAAATGTTATTCACAGCCTTTTCAAAGTCTCAGACTTCAACAAACACTCACACAAAGCTATCGACCAAGAAAACAAGAAGTCGTGGGGTAATACAAAGCATGACTCTGAAACGGCACCACCCAATACTCGCTTTAAGCTGTATCTGGAAACATGTTTTGCAGACTAGTTCAGGAGAAATGTCCATTTCCAGAGTAGCCGGCATATTTTTTCACACTGATATTCAGAAGAAAACTGTAAATCACGTATTGGACCGCCTTTATGAAATTACTTCTGCCTTGAGATTCAAGATAAAACAGGTTACATGCCAAACATTGTGGGACAGCTTTGTTAGGCATTTATTTTGGTGGACTAGCCCCAAAACATGAAGTTTAATTCTTAATTTAAGATGCACACATACAATACAATACACCAGAACGGTATCCCCAATATTGCATTATTTATCAATATGCTAGGTATAGGATCAGTAATCCTTACACTGAGTTTAGGTATCAGAATCGGGAGAGAAAATGGCAGATCTAATATTAACATTTTAAACCACTGAAAGATTCCACATCAAACGCCACTACAGCAATGCTTGGGCCCATTAGCCATGAGAATATTAAAACATGCACAGCTAAATAAGAAAATGGATGCAGAGTTACAACATCAATTGCTGTTGATATTTTCAAATATTTCCATTTCTCTCTCTTTTAATCCAGCAAGATTAATATTGGAAAGACACTTTTAGCACCAGAATTTCTACTGTGACTTTATGAGCAATGCTTACTGCAGTAAATGATGTCTGCTTCACTTATCTCCTAAGCCTCTCGCTTGTGCTTCTCCAAAATGTCCTCCACTTCCCCCACCAGCCACTGCAAACCCTGAACTGTTTAGACTAGCTCGGACTGTATGTATGACATACTGCTCTCTCCCTCTCTTGATGAATCATGTCCAGACGCTGCAGAGATGCACGCAGTGACCAAGCAGCAGACCTACTGCACAGAAACGATCCCTCGAAAAGGAGGCCTCCAAATCCACCTGCCGTGTCCTAACCATAACAGCGCTGATCCTGACATGGATCACACAGTGACAATTTCTAGTGTTTCCCTCTGTGAGCAGTGTTCACGGAGCCAATGCTGGTCTCACACACTCATAACTGCAACGGGTGGAGAGGTCACGGCGTCGCTGCCGGCCACCTAAATAGATATACCATGAAACATAGAGTATCGCTCAAATGTTTCCATTCCACCTGCTCATATATACATACATACCTCCCTTCCATATCACTAAATGAGTGGGGGTAAGGGTAAGGGTTGGGGGGGGGGATCACAGGACTCCAAAGACAGCTGCAGCTTATAAGGAATGTGAGGGGCCTCAGCCAAGAGAGCAGGCAGGGAAACCATACCATATATGGCAACAGAGGCAGAATCTAATTTTTATCAATGAGCAGAGCGGGCATGAGGGTGGCTTAACATGCAAAGGTTGATCTCTCATCCCTGACGGTGTATGGTACGTGTTAGTTAGTGCCTTGTGAAAACAGCACACAGGCAAACAGGCCTGGAAGTGTCTGTCTTCAAAGGGGCGTACTTAAGCCGTGTAAACACTGGAGGGAATCTTGGCCTCCAGCACGTGATTGCGCGAAGGTGTGGACAGTGGAGTGTGTCTGCTGATGAATTTATCGCTTCACTTCAAAATGTCAAAGACCCGAGGTTTAAGAACACTTGCAGTAATGAAAGGGACGCAGAGTGCAGCTTTTCTTTTGGGAAGCCAGCGAAAAATAACGATGAGGATTTTGGGAAAAACGTTTTCCTTTTATCTAGGGCTGGGCGATAAATCGATTTGATCAATTAATTCGAATTTGTAGTTAAACACGATTTATTTTTAGTTAAAATCGGTTTTCTCTTGAACTTCCACAACACTGTCAGCACCTTTGGGCTCCCGTAGGTCAGAGTGCACTGACCCGTCCCCCCGCCTCTCCACAGATCCACACAACATGGCAGCAAGCCAGGATGAGCTCGTCCCCAAAAAAGGCACAGTGTCGTCGGTTGTTTGGAACTGGTTTGGTTTTGTGGCGTCCGACAGCAAACAAACCACGACCCACTGCAAAGTTTGTTTGAAAGCTGTTGCAACCAGAGGTAGCAGTACGACCAATTTATTCCAGCACCTCAAGCAGAGGCATGCAGCCGAGTGGGAGAAATGTTGCTCTCTGCGAGATATACAAGACCGCAGCCCACAAACACCCGCTAAAAAACCGTCAACAAAAAAATCGATTAAAATCGTAAATTGGGTTTGGTGTGAAAAAATCTGAGATTTTATTTTTAAGCCATATCGCCCAGCCCTAATTTTATCATTTCATCTTATTTCTGTCACAAACCTTTTTAGAAGGTTAAGAAGCTTGAAAATTGCACAAAATGTGTAATATTCAAATATTTTCAGAAATAGAAGTTCTGTTTAACTATCTCAGTGTCTCATGCATGAACACAAGTCAACTCCATCCCAAAATCAAAGATAAACACCAAAGTCCTCCATACAGCAGGCCACATGTTTCTCATCCTAACACAACCCAGACCTGCAGTGATTTATCTTTCAGGGTGTTACGAGGCTTTCCTGGACGAGAGGTCAGAAAGTGTAGACAGCTCCCTTTGGTAAGTGGGATAATACCGTACTCTACATTTGATCTGGCTCTCCCCGCACCGTAGAGCCCTTTGAAGGAGTACTGAGAAGTTTTGGTTTAATTAAAAAAATGACTTGGTGCTCAGAACCAAACCACAAGTCCAAAACAGAGGCCTCACATATAACAGGCAAAAGTTCAAAACTGTGTTTACAATAGGACAAAGATTATTTTCCACAACTGCTTGTGGGTTTGATTTATTTGCTCTCCTCCTGTGCTAGTCTAGCCTTTTTTGGAGAGATTTCCCACTATATCCACCATTACTGACTATAGTGCTGTATCACTTCTTTTTTTTCTCTCTTCTCTTTTTCAATTTGCACTGCAATTCATGTCTCCATTAGAGAGCAGTGAGTCACAAAGACTTTAACTGAAGTACCATTCTTGGTGAAAGCAGGGGGCTGTGGGGACTAGTAGAGAAAGTAGTCAATTCAATTTTGGGGATTCGAAGCTACGATTTTCCCAAGAAAGATGGGAGTGCATTCTTAATTTTTGTCTTGACCACCTAGAGGACCGGTCTGCATTAGCAGACCTTTCCTCTTTTTGATTTTCACCTTTGTGTCGCCCATGCTCTCCGACTCAGACACCTGGTAGGTGAGGTCCGTTTCCTCAAAGCCTGTGGCACTCATGCGCTGGTCCATGGAGGGATCAGAGCGCGGCGGCGAGTCCGGTGAGTTGAGGCATGTTTGGATCAGAGCCTTGCCTGTTTCGCTTGTGATCATGGGCTGGAGTTTGCGGGTGGCAAAAGTGTAGACATGGCCCGTTTCACTGGCCACGAGCAGCAGGACCTGGGTTCCCGTCAGGGTGGAGAGTTCATAGGCCTGAGAAAGAGAAAGAAGAGGATTCAAATATCTGACAGAGAGAATGGGCCAAGAGTAAAGATAAAAAAAGAAAATATATGGTTCTCCAAATTGGGGCTTGGATTACCCTTATCTCATACATAAAGTAATCTCTACTGGAAAGGGAATATTAGAGATTCCAAAAGTTAACTCCTGGAAAAAAGAAAATTACCTATCTAAGAAAACACCCAAATCTAAAAATACCCCCATAGTGAACTCTGACGTATAGCACAAACGAAGCTAAAATAACATGAGATAAGGCTCCCAGAATAGAGAGAGTGATATAGCTGAGAAACTGATTGCAGCGGGAGTGGCGGTAACCCAGTCTTGACAGAGGACACAAGGAATCGTTCTTAACACGCAGGAGGTGAAACGTGAGGCCACCATCACAGTCTGCCGCCATCATTCATTATACAGCACACACACTCACATTCAAACACCCTACTGTAAAGGAAAAGCACAATGAGATTCAACTCCATCCAACACGCACACATATAGGACCAAACACACTACAAGGCTGCACTCGGAGTGAACTCCTGAGAAAGCCTTTTTATCTAAATGAGTCATAAGTTATGTGGTGGATGAGTCTGATGCTGTGAAGGCACAGTGCCATTACCATCACCTTGGTGAACAGAGCAAAGCTGCTGCTAGCTGATAGATGTGCCATTGTAAGCTGGAGTGCAATACTCCCATCAGGCAGAGCGAGGAGGAGGAGACCAATCACATTCAAATTTAAGTATTTTATTGAGCTGTTAAAAAAAATGAGGCATTCATGCTGGTCTACTCCATCATGCTCCAACACTGTGTTCATTATGGGCCATATCAGTCCAATCCTCTATATCTGGCCACTGAAGCTGATCGTATAATTGCCTTTTGTGTGTAATAATATGACGACAGAGCACAGAAAGGTTAATGATGACCAGCTCCTGCTACACTGGTTCAATGCTACACCACGCTTGTTCCACCGGAACACTTCAAACCTTAATTATGTGGAGGTTTTTGGTGTGTGTATTGAAGAACGGTGTTTCAAAAGGGGTGTCTCTGGCTGGTTCACCCAAGATTCACCTCACTGACTACTAATGCAGCATTACAGAAGCAGGTAATGAACTACACAGCTCCAGTCAGCCTCTTCCACTACTATCTTCCTTGATTAGCTCTGCAGCAGCTACAGAGGGGGCTCTAACAGGGACTGCTGTTTTGGCCAACATCCAAAACAGAAAAGGACTAATTTGTCAACTTAAGTGTGCTCGGTGGCAGCACAAACTAGACCTACACAATGCTTTAATAAGTTTCCATGCTCTGTTGATTTTCTCATAAATATTAATGACGGCAGGGTCAGCTCAGGCTGTAATTGGTTCCTCTGTCACACAAAACACCCTATATATCAATTAAAGGAGCAGAATAAGATATACTCATGGACACAAACATGTATATATAGTTGCAATTCATAACAATAAAAAAAAAAAATAAAAAAAAACAGTGGCTCTTTGTGGCCTTATTTTTCAGCTTTTATCTGGATTTCTCTGCTAGTAGTTAAAACACTCGTCCCACTTGTAGCATTGTGTTTACACAGTTGCTAGTTTAAATCCCTGGAAAGTTCCTGGAGTTCAAGGTAGTTTCTTCAAACTGCTTGTTTGGTCCAGACAACTATTCAACATCACAAAATACTACATTTTCATGATATTAAAACAACAAAAAGCAGCAAATTTCACATTAAAAAGCTGGAGCCAGTGAATGTTTGGCAAACCATCAATAATCAGTGTTTTGTTGATTGATCACTCGACATATAGCAAGAAAAGCCCAGGTGTAAATAATAACATTAATAATGGATGCATTCCATCTAGGGCAGCCAGTTTCAGAGCCACGGTATTGTGCACACACAGGTCACTTGTGTGGCTTATTGAGGCAACTAAATGGAATGGAGCCAGAATTTATGGTATTAATAACACCTTTTGAGAAGTAAAAATGTCTGTCACAAAAACAGCCTATGGAGCACAGTCACAAGTCAGAGCAAAAATTAAAACGTCACCTTTTCTGGAGAAACAATGGAACCAAAAAGGGAACTAAGTATTAATTGTGTAATCCTGCGCCAGAAATTGGAGTAAGAGTTTGTATTGTATTGTGTAAGTGTACATGCACGTACTCTAAAGCATACATGACATATGAACAAATGGGCCTATGCTTCACTTACCACATCCTTCAATACAAAACTAGGCTTCATCATCCAAACCAGCTTTGAGACAAGTCTACTATGAATCTTCCCACTCCACCCACTTGTCAATTTCTGTGATGGCTGACATAGTGTAGGCAACATTTTCTAAAATCTCTATCCACACAGTGTGTCAAATAGTGCTCATGTTGCCAAGAGCCTACATAAAGACACCTCAGTTTCCACGACAACAGTCTGGGATACATAGAAAAAAAAAAGAAGAGAAATACTGAGTACACAGTACAGGCGCTTCGAAGTAACATGAGGACGGACCAAAAACTCTCGCACTACAATAAAACACAACACAAGTGTTTATTTACAGTCATAATGAAAGATGGTCGTGTCTGCAGCAAAACAACCGCTGTGCTTCTGCTCACTAGCTGACCTCCACTCCAAATGATCAACTTCAGATGCTTTGATGCCAAATTCCACATTACAGTCCTTTATCATGGCAGCAATTGTGTGCTTGAGTTGTGGATTTTGAGTGAAACATTTCTTTGTAATGGAGGCAGTTATGACTTCCAGAGAACAGGTTCTGTCATTTTTAATGTCAGCTGCAGATGTGTCAAACCCCCCAAAAAAACAATACTGAAACCAACACATCACTAGACGGGGCCCGGACGCTTGCATCAGAATGTACACTGCCATAATGCATGCACAGACAGACCCTAGCATCTCTCTTCTGTCTGAGTGCTCTTTGACTGTCCTCTGATCTGTTTCCCTGGGGTTTAGTCAGCTGTTGGCACCTTACAGGCCCGCTGCTGCTCACCACCGCATGGCTGCCGCCTGCGAGCGAAGCCCTGCTTCACAGTGACAGAGGGAACAGCCTGTGCACTGAGGGCTACTGATGGGAACTACTTCCAACCATCCTATGCCTGCCTGCCTGCCTGCCTGCGTATGAAGGTGTATGGGTGTGTGTGTGTGTGTGTGTGTGTGCATGAATGAGCGTCAGTTAAATCTGGTGTTCTTGTGAAAGGCCATGTGTGTGTGGTGGTTGGGGTGGGCTTGGGTCATAAATAGAATTGTCATTTGCTCAAGTCTATTTAAAGCACATTGCCCATCATGAAAGCTCTGACTTCCTCCCCATCCACTGAGTTAGTTTGTGCCACAATTGTTTGTGTCTCTTATGATACAGATAAACTGCTATTAGATTTACTGCAGGTTAGTAGCATCTAAACATAATGTAGGCCCACTATTCACAAAATGTCAGGGATTACTGTGTAGATATTATAAACAGGCTACCATGCAACACTCCCCCCACTGGTGTTATGATTATACAGATCATTAAGGTGTAACCTGGTTGTGAATTCCACCAATGAATGAATGAATGAATCAATGCACAGCACCATATATTATAGCACAGTAAGGCTGAGCAACATCTCGGTGACTCTCAAAATCAAATGTTAGTGTAGTTGGATGAGATCCAGAGACAATCACCTGACTCACCTTTTTCATAATGCCCGTCTTCCTCTTGCTGAAAGTGGTGTAACGTCTCAACTTGTTGTCAATAAATTCCATCTTTATCTTTACGCGCCCACGTGTCTTTTTCCCCGGCTTTGCCCCGGCGACCCCTCCGGGTACCATGCCGTAACCTCCGGTAGGTACCCCAACTTCCTGACCCGTCACCGCAGCCTCCATCTCTCTCTCCCGCTTCACCCCCCTCCGGCTGTCCCCGAGTGAACCCACTGGGTCATCATCATCTCCGGAGTCCGAGTCATTATCCGAGCCGCTGCACAGAGGAGCACTCTCTCTGTCCGGGTCGAACCTGCCTCCGTGAGTCAACACAACTCCCGTGTTCAACCCCACCATGTTGCCCTGGACGGCGGTCTGCAGAGGCGTCAGCCCAGTGCCGTTCCCCGGTCTCGCACCTCTCGGACCCCCTGGACCGTTAGCCCCCAGCATCCCGACGGCGTCTCTTTCCCCCTGTCGCCCGGCAGCACCGGAGCCCTCGCTCACCCCCGGTAAAGCTTGCCCTGCTCTGATCAAAACGGGACGGATCCCGCCGCCGACAATCCCCGAACCGTGTCCTGTGTTACCCCTGCCCGAAGCTGACCCGTTTCCAGATGGTGCCGATCCAACCCGGCTCGGTAACATTATATTTACTGGACCGGGTCTCTAAACACCAGCTACACTAGCTGGAGCGCGTGGTAAAACGGCTGTTAAAACGCATACACGCCTGGGCCACAAAATGTAAACAAACCAGGCCAGTTGGTGGTTTTGGAGACTCCAGGAAATAACCGAGACAAACTTTCGAAAGTGATGCTGCCCCCAAGACCCTTCAACCCCGGCTCAGTTTGGTTCACCCTCCTCCTCTATTTCCAAAACTCTAAGCACTTTCTCAAAAAGGAAAACGCGAAGAGCGCCGTCGATGTCGCTCCGCGGTGTCACCTAGTCCGCATTGTGAACCTAAAACAGCGCTATTAGCGGCCTGTTAGCAACCCTGTGCTCGCTTATACTCCACCAATAACGCGATATTTATCTCTTCACGGTTCAGGGACGCATAAAAAACATCTAATTTCAAAGCAGCGTTTACAGCAGCGGACTGATATTACAACCCAGGAACTACTTCCCTCCTTATAAAGAGATACAATGTTTCCTTATTTGGTGCTGTCTCTCCTTATTTGGTGAGTCACAGCGTCGCCTCTCGATTGGCTGAGGATTATCTGAGTAGCGCTCCCATTGGTCGGCGGGGCAGGCTCATTGGAATAAATACCAAAATGGTTGCGCTACCGACAACGTCACCGTGGACAGGCAGAGGCACCAAAATAACAAAACATCCAACTTTTTATTCCCCACAGGTTGTTGTAGGCCTGTGTCATACCACAAACCACGTTTTCCCAGAGTTTGGATGCCAGAAGATGTCTTTATTGAACTGTTTTGGCTGAAGGAGTTGGGGTGATTCTGTCAGAGGAAGTGCCTTCTTGAGTTTATACAGTACTGTGTTACTGGCGGATGTATACGTTTAGACCTAATTAATGTGCATTAGGCTACTTAATGTGCCAAATAATCTCATGTAGAGGTTCCTATTTTATTTTTTCATGCATTGTGTAACTACTTATCTATTTATCTTAACAATATTATACACTCCCCTATAACATGGTAGTTATCTGCAAGACTGGACCTGCATCACACTACTCAAGAACCGCAATGCCACTGTTTACTTAGCTGGCAATAAGTATGAGAATAGAAGTATGTGTAATTAAGATTTTTAAGAAACTTGTATGCAAGTTGCATTCAACGACTAATTGTAATCCTGCATATTTTTCCACTATAGGCCTCTTTCACAGCAGATATTCTAAACTTGCCATTGCAGGTGTGCCTTAGTGTCCCAGTAAGTCGTGATAGTGATCCAGCATGCACGATACCAAGACCCTGAAACCTAAGCAGCTAAATGGGATTCACCCACCACCATAGTTGTTTATTTCCCTGCAGTGACAAGTCAACATGTCTTCTGTGGAAAAGGACTTTCACTTTTGGTTGTTCTTATATAATAGTGTTTGAAATGATGCAGTACATCCCGCCCATCAGCTACTCCAGGCAGGTTAAAACAAATGCCCCATATTATGGTATTTGGAAATGGTTTCTCAACCCAAGATTTGTTGGCAAGATGCGAGGGGATTTTTATTTGAATGTATGGGCTGTTACTACCATGAGAGCTCCTTGAGGTGTGAATGCTCTCGGGAAAAAAAAAGTTGTCACAATATGAAGTTTTATGACTCAGTTTGTCAAATAAGTGTGCAAAATTTAACACTGAATGATAAAAATACATCCAACAGAACAAACACTTGAAAGGGGATAAATAACTGCAACTGTATTAGGAAGAGCTGTTTGGTTCTGTGTGCAAGTCTGAAGTTGAGCCTCTTTATCGATCACTACATACAGCAGACCACCAAACACACAGTTAACTACAATGTACACAAACGTCTCATAGCCTGGAAGCCTGGAAGAGGAGACCCACAATGCCTCAACATGAACTCAAATATCTACAGTAAACTGCCAAACTTGCCTGTGGGCACCAAATAAAACATGACATTCAAATTAATGACATATTTATCAGATAAAAGGAAAACATTGTCCCTAATCCAAGACAACATGGACTCTTACTCATATGGGAATCCTCTTTTGCAGCTATAAAAGGCCATGTTAGCCTATTCAACTCTAAACATAATTATATGGAAAAAAAATATTTGGCAAGCTTTCAGGGTTAGATTTAAAAAGACCCACTGAAGACATACACCTCCCCCTAGTGGTTACCGAGAGAACCTTTTGGATTAACATTTAGATAAGAAAGGACTGTGAAGGTGCTTTTACAGAACAGTACAGATAGTTTTATATATTATAGCCCAATAAATATAAAGTGTTAGTACTTTTTATTACTCCTGAACCTATTCAAAGACATGCCACAAGTTCTAAGATTTTGTACTCACAGGCAGATGTTATTTACACACAATCTCTTGCAGAGACTTGCTTGAGGTAGGTAATCCACCTCTGAACACTTCGTCAGCTATATTATTTTTCTCTGAATTATCATGAAAACTCTTCACTTGGCTTAAAGGTGGCAACATTTTCAGTAAAATAAGCTTACAAATTCTCTTGATGCAATGGGTTTCAGCAGCCAAATACCTAATTTGGACTTTTCTTGTATACACGCACAAGGGAGAGTTTTTAAAATATTCCCTGCTTGTTGCACTGCCACACAAATTTGGACTAAAAAGCACGTTCGATGTGATTTATTGGCCATCGCGTGCAAGTTTAAATGATTTGAAAGTTGATTCTCATACCAAACTGAAAGAAGAAAGAAGAGAAAGAAAACACCTCATAAACAAACATTTTGGAAACTGTTACAGATGTGGTTTTTAAAAGGGGCATTGTTGGCTACAGTATTAATCACAACACATTGGGTAAAAACACTGTGAACCTTTATTGACAGCAGCATGTATACTTTTGTATATATCTGTGATTATTGTGAACATTTGCTGAAGCAGATTAAAAAAAAGACGTCTAGGTGTGAGTGCCTAGCATTCATAAAAACAAAACATTACACTAAAAACAACGTATAAAAACAAGTTGATAAACAAAGGCCATTGCATTTGATTAGATAAAGTAAAAAAAAAAAAAAAACGAGAGGGAAACAGTTAAGATAATCCTTCATTTACCAGGCACTTAAATGAGTACTGGTGACCAGCAGTCACTCTTTTTGACCTCCTTTGTACTTTGTGTTAGCATATTCAGCTGGTTACCAGACTGAACGCATATTGAGATGGTCTGTGAGTATGAATACATCAGAGAAGTACCTTCCTATTATAAACACAGTTAAAAAAGACAGGACCTTCATCATAAATAAACAGGCACCTGCATGTCCTACTACACAACATGATAGAGATAAAGAGGGATATTCTTTTTAAGTGAAGTTAGTGCATGGCTTCTACATTATATACACATTGCCTGGTGTGATGGTCCACTTTGCAACATTGCACAAACAAATTGGACCGGGAGGGAAACTGTGATTGGACCTCTGAAAAAATGATGTCGCAGGTTACACACAGTGATAGGCTGAATTCCTGCAACATGAGACAACATGATAATGTTAATGCGGTAAAATGGGTATTGTCACCCATAGGTTGTGACCAATAAGCACCTCAAAAGTTAATACAAGAACAGAACACACTCATAAAAAAAAAAACATACAAAGCCCACACTGGCACAATCCCGTCTATTCAATATAATCCTTGGCTATAAACTTGATCTTTTTTATGGTCCTGAAGTGTTACCATAACACGAATTACTTTTTCCACAAGTCTCCTCACGTCGCAAATCGCAAGCGTAACAGACGGCGAACCTTCATGCAATTCCACTTCTTCTTTGAACGTACACTGGAGCATGGGAACAGTTCAGTGGCGTGCGCATGCACACATGCATGCACACACACACACACACACACACACACACACACACACACATATACACACACACATATACACACACACACTTGGGAGGCTGGTATTGGATTCTTGATAGAAAGAGTAGCTAGGTGTGTCCTCCAGGATTAGGGTGGCAGACTCAGCATCGTGTTGAGTGAGATTGTTTCAAACTGGTCTGTTAAAATCAGCTGCATTCTAAGTGGTTGATGGAATATCTAATAAAGCTTCACTGCTCCACTGAAGTCACACTTGATTCCACTTTCCTTTTAATAATCTTTGAAGTTTAATAAACACATTGGACTTTGCAAAGCAGTTAACCTAAATTTCAGGGGTTTTCGTAAACTTCCCACTAATAATTTCAATTGATCAGTGCCAGTGAAACCACTGTATCTAACATCCCTACAAAGCAGTTGGAGCTCTGGGTGAGTGAGTGTGTGTGTGTTTGTGTGTGTGTGTGTGTGTGTGTGTGTGTGTGTGTGTGTGTGTGTGTGTGCGTGTGCGTGTGCGTGTGCGTGTGCGTGTGTATGGAGGGGTAGAGGCACTGAGGTCGTGAGGCTCCGTGATTCAAAGTGTCTCTGGGACAGAGCGGCCGCAGACAGGCAGGCAGGGTCACAGTGGAACCACAGACTGGGACTCGTCGGGAGGGTCATCCATGCTGCGGTTAAGGCAAACGTAAACTCCTGGCACTGCTCACAACGAAGCCTTTCACACAAACGTGAGTGCGTTTCCACTGATATAGCAAAGAAGTCTTATCCACACACCCGCTGTTTGAAATGCATATAAAAAAAGTGTTTTCTCCTCAACCCTCTTCCCTGAAATGTGTGAGACTAATAATCCAGCATTCCTGTCTTTATTTTGGGGGAAGGGGGTTGGTCAAAGTTCCCCTCTGATGTGGGGTTAGGGTCATCTCAGACTTTGCTGTCAGAGGGCACCTCTCCCAGGGCGTGCACAATTTCCGTGAATGAGGGGCGCTCCTTGAGGCTTAGCGCCCAGCAGCGGGCCATAAGCTTGTAGATTTTGGAGGGGCATCCCTCTGGAACGGGCAGCTTCAGCTTCCCTGTCTGCAGACCTAAAGGGGCGGAGGGTCAGCAGAGAGAGGGAGGTTAAGACAGAGACATGGACGTATGTGGTTGTTTGGTTGCATTTGACATTTACTGGCTACTCTGTGACTCCCCCTCGAGAACTGATTATATTCCACTTCTCTAATTTACATTTACCATTCAAACAAATTCTATAACCAACAGGGACCCATTTTCTCTCTCTCTCTCTCTTCTGTGCTGAATCAGAACCTGGACTAAAAACAAGCCGCTGAAGCATCATACTGACCTTCCAGCGTCTCATCATCGCTGAGTTTGGTATATGGCAATTCCCCGTGACTGAACACTTCCCACATCAAAACTCCGAAGGCCCACACGTCAGACTTGGTGGAGAAGTCGTCCTCAAACACGGACTCTGATGGGAGCCAGCGCAGTGGGATCCATGCCTGTCTGTAGTGGTAGTACTCACTACATACACAAGAGAGATGACAAGGAGATGGGTAATAAATAAAATTAGCCGGATGAACAGCGACGTCTCAGAATTGTAATGGAGCCATTTACTGTAGTTGGTGATTAAAGTGGGTGAATCTTATTAAATCAAGCTGCTTTTCCAACAAACCTGTTGTAGACGTCCTTGCTGAGGCTGAGCGATGACACTTTCACGCGCCTCTGACTGTTGATCAGGCAGTTTCGGGCGGCTAGGTCTTTGTGAACGAAACGGTGATTGGACAGATGCTCCATCCCATGAGCCACCTGGGCACAGATGGAAACCTGAAAGAAAGGAGAAAAAACCATAATAAAAAAAAGGTGAAGTGACTTTGAGAATACATCTACAAAGGCAGCAGAGCTTGCCAAGGTTGTGTTTGGTAGCATCCGTTAGGAATAATATGACATTTTGGAAAAGAAGTCCCTCAGATTAAACAAAGAACATATAATATGTTAGTTAGTGAGCTTTAGAGGTGCTGTTAAAGGTAGTTAAATTTTTTTTACCTTTGGAGAGAGCCAGGCTAGCGGTCTCCCATGTTTTGTCTTTTTTGCTAAGCTACACTAACACTAATAAGTGTGTTTCCAAAATGTCTAAATATTGCTTTAAGTAAACACTGTATTGGGTTTAATGGGAAGAGCATAACTTGCTCTATATGCTTTAGCTGACATACATTTCGGTCTTTATTATTTGCATGGTAGATGGTGTGCAGGATGCTGTGAGCTGACACTCAGGGTAAAACATTCAACACTTACTTTGGTCTTGGTGCTGATAGGCTGAGATTTGACCTTGTCATCTTTGCTTTTGGAAATTCTCAGGAACTGCTTCAGGTCCCCCTGGTAAGATAAAAGCAAAAAAGAGAGTATTATATACCAGGTAAAAACAAATATACTTCTTCCATCCTCATGTGTTTGTGCATGTGCTTTTGTTTCTGTGTCATTACCAGGTCATAGTACTCCAGGATCATGTAGTGCGGCTCTGCCTCCCTACACAGGCCCAACAGGCGGACGACGTTGGGGTGGCTGAGCTTGGCGAACATTTCAGCTTCGCGGCGGAAGTCGAGCTGGAGCTGCTCATCTCGGGTCTGCAGGCTCTTCACCAACACCACCGTCTCCTCCTCGCTCTCCTCGATACCCTTAGCTTTGCATAGCAGCACCTCACCGAACTCCCCTTTACCTGAACATTCACACGGAACAGACAGCACATGTCAGAGCAGACACCGCACATTGCTTTATGAGGTGAAGCACAAGGTCATTCACTATCAGCAAGACATACAAAAGAGAATTAATATGAATTAATCATTCTACCTAAAGTAGTGATGGTTTGCAGGTTTGCTCGAGCGAAGTGGAGCTTGTCATTGTTGACGTGGCTGTGGCGTTTCTCGGTTGTTGCCACGGTACCCATGTTGGTGAGTGCCACCTCTTCCTGGATCTCAGTGGTGGTGTGGCCATTTTGTTGAACGGCTCCTCCTACACCCAACAGACATCCCACAGGGTCAAAAGTCGCAGACATAGTGCAAATCTCAATGGGTATTCACTGTAAACGTGATGTGTATCCAAATAGAGTAAAATCTATTCAACAAAACCAACAGTTCTTGCTCTGATTAGCGCTCATTAGAAGTTACACGGTGTAATGTTGGATGCTGTATGAGAAGAAAGACTTCAGCAGGGTGTCAGCACATATCCCACTAGTGCTCTGTCCCGATTCCACTGTGTACAGCATGTTCCATATCTTAATCTTTATATTATATTGTTTTTGTCGAACGTAATTCTAACCGAAACTTGAATGTCACTACAAATTAAACTTCATAAAGAAAAAGTAATTTCTTGTGTTCTGAGGTGTCCCAAGAACTGTTTCACTATCATCCACAATTAGTTTAGATTTTTTCCCAGCTGAGAGCAGCTTTTGTACGTCAACACACTCAAAAATCGCCCCCAAATCTTCCCACTCACACTTAGTGTGTGTGCAATGGAACTGGGATACAGCTCATCAAATTTGATATGAATCCTTGGCGTATCACATGTTAAATGCAATACCCAGGATAAACACAAGATGGCAGCAAATATGCTAAACTTCTCAACAACACTTTGAGGACCATAAAGTTGGAGGAATATCAACCACTCACATAACCACAGGATTTTACAACAGTTTCACCACAAATTCAGAAACATTTCTTCTCCATCATACCATTGAGACACTCCATCTCAGGCTCCTCTCCGTCCTGGCCTTTCTGCAGTCTTTTTGCGTTGCGTCTCTTTTTGCAGTAGAACATGAGTCCCAGCACTACAATGATGTACGCCACAGCTGCTCCCACTGACAGACCGATGGTTTGGATCATCTTGTAAGGAGCCCTGTCCCCATCTTCATCGATAGAGTGCACTGGTTTGTCTGTTGGGCAAAGTTAGTTAACTAAAATGCTCTGAAAAAGTACAGGATGTGTACCATGTCGGTTGGATGTTACCACATCCAAGTCTTTAATCAACATCACATGGATCAGTTTTAGCATAAAGGGTAGGCACACTTAGAGTAAAAATGCAAATACAAGATGTAAATATGCAGTTCACTTTGAATTAAATGCGATTTCCAAAGTTAAACCAGCGTAACAACTGTAAAGCAAAACAAAAGCAAATAGCAATCCCTTATCTGTTTTATAGATTTATTATATGTATGTTAAAATCATACAATCACTTCATTCAACGAGTTATTCTCACACTGTTAGACAGTGCTGTCACGCTGGCACTGACAAGCTACGACAAACATCTAAATTTAATTGTATCCTGCTTTGAACTAATCCGGAATACCATCCTGCTACTTTGGAAGAAAATGAGTTGATATGGGACACTAGTGCAAGTGTGTGACTGTAATTTTCAGCCTCAGTCGACACACAAGGAGCCACAGAGTGTGAAGCGTTATTAGATCTAACGGTCTGCCCAATCCCATCGCCTCAGTGACAGCTGTGGCGTCAGAGATGTGGCTGTGGTTATTAACCTGTCGAGTTGGATGACAGGCAGAGGGTGAAGGTTTAATGAATGCCTTCATCCTTTACTTGTGATCTTGGCGTACGCCCCATCTGTGCACCTTTGTTCCAGATAAAGGAAGCCTGTGTAAATATGTTTGCCTGTGCCTGTGTATTAAACTCACCCACTACATACAGCTGAGCCACACGGTCTTTAATGCTGCAGCTGTTTCCGGCCACGCATGTGTATCTGCCAGTGTCGTCTGTAGTGACATCTGTAATCACCAAGGAGCCATTGGGCAGCTTCTGGAACCTGGAAGAAAGAGGGGACAGGGCAGATGAAGGCGGAGGTCCTGAATTCACAGCAGGGAAGGAGGAGGAGGACAGACATGTCGATCGGCTGTAATACATTTTCCCAAGCTGGCATGTGAGACTGTAACATACTGACACATTATTGTAGCAGGAAGTAACATTTGTTTTATTTTTATCTGTTGGGTGTTATGGTGACTATAAAAGCTACCAAAAATAAACATAATTTTTGATGGAGGTTCAACTGAATGCCAAAGGAGGTGTATATATAACGTTATATATATATATATATATATATATATGCAATTTCTGTCAATGATGACACTTGCACAATGTTAGACGTTGAAAATCGAATAAATAATTTCCGACTGATTCAGATCACTCTGTTAACATATAGTATGAATATACTAATGTACAAAAAAAGATTTAAAGTCCATTACATATACACAGTGGGACTCAGGGAGAGAGAAATTATTAATTATTTAATTTATTAATTAAAGAGATTTAGGATAACAAAACAAAAATGTTCTTCCATAATTTTTCTGACTTTTATTCTGTGACGTTTGCTCGTTAGACTGTTCCTCATAAATTGCTCGTTTCATCCTGATGAAAGCCTCCTGTTCATTAGCAGCCGGCTGTGTGTGAGGTTTGATCATTAGCACAATCAACCCCCCCGAACACTGCTATGTAAGGCTACCTGTTCCACAGTTTCATTCACAAAATTCCTACTCAAGTGTAAAGAGAAGAACTTCACACTTTGGAGCCAGGTGGAGATCATAGGACAAATTTAGCAGTGTCGCTGTATCAGTACGAACATTAAAGCACAATTAATGATTATTAATAGTGAATCTGTTAACAATGTGTCATTAACGGAGCGGCGCACTGAGACATACTGTACATGTAGGTGATGTGCATCTCTAAAGTGTTTTAATGGAGGATGTTCACCTGGACAGCGACCTGCATAAAGCAGCTGAAGGAATGGTAAAACTACTGACATGTAAAAGTTGCCATGCCAAAATATTCCAATAAATATAAAAAACACAAAACCAACAAAAACCTCTCAGTAAATTGGCAAACCACGATGATGATATGGTGGACATTATGGATTATTACGTTTATTTTAGTTATTTGTTTTTATTTTAGTTAATTTTGGTAACATATTTAAAACTACAAATTCATTCCAATTCAAACTTTTCCTCCCTGTGGACAGAGGCAGACATCAGTTCCTGACCTATACTTATCACTCTTTCGTGCCATTTAAGAACCAATCTGTTTGTACGAGATGTTCTTGCTTGAGGCCCATTGCGTGCCCATTGTGTAATACTATATTAGCACCAGCTACATCTATAATGAACGCACAATAAATTAAACTGCAATCCATCCTGTTTGGAACCTGTAATCACAAACTGTTTTCCTAATCCACGATGGTTGAGCTGTCTCAAAGGCAGATTAAAAAGAAAGAAGAGTCTCATTTACCTTCTGTTCTTACTGATGTCCAGGGTCTTGTCTTTGACCATCCAGTGGATGTGGGGCTCGGGGTCACCGGTGGCCTGACAGTGCAGGATGGCTGTGTGACCCTGGTACACCGTTGTATTCTCTGGCTCCACCTTAAAGCGAATGTACACTATACGTGCACAAACACACATTCGCTCATTATTACAACACTTACACCACAACTGGGTCATAACATTTCCTTTACAGACTGTGGTGACTGTGGTTAACAGTTAGTTACACTCCACAACCCGAAATGCAATTCATTACTGAGCTATAAAAAGGCCACTAAGCACACTATAAATGCTGCTGTATTTGCCACTTGATGAGAATGATCAATGACTGTCTCTTCATAAAACCACCCTCAGATGCACTGAGACCACAAGTACTGTCAATGTGGGGCTGATGACTAATATGGTGGCTTGACCCTTTCTCTCTTCTAATTCCCTAGTCCCAGGATGATGAGTGAGCAGTTTACCGGCCACAGTGAGGGTCACCAGGGCTCTAATCTCCCCCTGGAGGCTGTTGGAGGCGATGCACGTGTAGTTGCCGGCGTCGCTGCGGGTGACTTTGGTGAAGTGGAGCTGGCCGTTCCTCTGCTCTACGCGAGGTGGCAGCTCTCCTCCGTCTGCAGGGGGAGACAGAGACACACACAGGGGGTTGGTTAGGAGTGCTGAGTGTGGGGCTGCCTGTGGAATTCAAGCAGTTAAATCTACTCCATCATCGCAAACGTGGAGGAAGTGGGGAAATGATCCATGATGATGAATCTTCCTCACACTCTGTTGATGCACAGTCTGTGCGTGTTTCTACATATTCTTGTGGAAACAGCATTTGTCATCATTAGCATGAAAGGAATGAAGGGTACTGCTGGCATTCTGGATGAGATATTTCCTTAAGAAAGTGTTAAACAATCATCTTTATTCGATTTAAGTTATTGTGAGCTAAGATAAAGCCAGCAGCGTGCAAACCTGCTTTGGTCCAGCGGATGGTGGGGGGCTCTCTGCCTTTAGCGGAGCACTGGATGATGATCTCATTATCCAGCTCCAGACACTGAGAAGGCTGGGGGGTCGGGGTAAACTTCAGCTTCTCTGAAACACAAGTCATAACACCACACACATTACACACGTGGTAAACAAGTAGGGGGGGCAACAAGTCAAAACCTCTTTTGTGCAACTCACACTGTAGATGAAATGACACAAAGCTGACGCAAATCATGTTCAGACACATTCAGGGAAATGTGGCTGCATGCACACATGGTGCACACAGATCTGAGTGTTAAACCTGAGGTCTATCAGAGGATGAGATCATATAAACAGATTGGCCAGACAAAACAGTGACATGTCAGGCCATCTATCACAGTAATCCTATAGCAGCAGAGCATCGCTGAAATAAAGGCGCCGTGCATGAGTCATATTTTACACCTCAGTGGGTGTCCTGAGGACGCCCAGAGACACAACATAGACAAGCTTGTCTTATTTTAGGAAACACACACATTCACACTTGCAAGCCCACAGGCATGACCACATTTGTTTTATATTTTCTCTCAATGCTGTGTTACCCATTATACCCCAGATAGGATTTCACTTGTTTCACATTATCTTTCAGTCAATGTGGGAATAACTTCAAGTACACCCTCAGTAAGAGTAGCATAATCTACTGTATATATTAATATTAATCAAAGAGTGATTCCCTCGCAGCTTACCGAGCACAATAACTCTAGCTTGTCCAGACAGTCGGCCGCCTACAGTCTTGGTTTCACAGCCGTACATCTGTCCGTCGTACACCTCCACATTGTTGATCCTGAGGCTGCCGTTACGGAACAGCTTAAAACGAGAGTCCTAGGGGGAAAAAAAAGAAGAGTTTTTAAGTGATATTTTCTCATGTCTAGAAAAAAATAAAGCAGATATTAGGTGAGCTTTCATATGCTAGGTGTCGACAGAATGCAGATCAGAAAAAGACACTAGCAACTGTTTCTGTGTTATTGTGTTTGACCTGATAACTGACCTCCTGTGTGATCCTGATGTTGTTGCGGAGCCAGGTGACCTCAGGTTCAGGGTTGGCCTGAGCGTGACAGTGAAGGTAACCTGGTTTACCTTCCTCCAACTGGCTGTCCTGAGGCCTCGTCACCCACACTGGGGCAGCTGTGGAGACACACACAGATAACGCATTATAGTATCATATAGTATCAGTACAGTTCACTTAACCATACACTCCATGTGTCTTGTCCTTTTCCATATACATATAATAGCTCTTCAGCTACATGGCACTGCCTTGAATGAATATATATATAAAGTGAGCTTGGTCTATTGGTCAGTCTAAAGATAGACGCCATTATTATAATGCCAGTGTATCTGCTAAATGGCTCGAGTGTTCCCACCGTGCTCTTGACATTAAATAACATGACTTAGCATAAAATGAAGAGGACTTCAGTTACCTATACTGCATGTTAGATCTTACTGGCTTGCTTATGTTCTCTTTCAGCTTATGTTCTTAAGGGGAAACACTCTTATTTTCACTACTCTTCTACTGGGACGTTATGGGGGAAAAAAAACTAAAACAAAATAAATTATGGCGTTTTACTATATTATACCATATTCATATGATAAGATGATAATTCATCAGTATATATCTCCTATGTTTTGAGCCTTTTTAGACAGTGAAAACTAAATACTAGCCGTTCTTTAACTCATTTAATCATATTTTTATGTCTGCTTTAAGTGATTTCTCTCATAAGAGAGTTACAAAAAAACAAAACCTGGATACTACATATCCCATAATGCACTGTGATAGCATCTTTCAATAGATACCCCCTGCCTCCTAAATGCCAACTTCTTCCAAACCCCAGACGTTTTAAAAGTCTGAGGGCAATTTCTTTTTGGTTTACACTGGAGCTGCACACTTTTTGTAAGTCTGTGTATGACTCACTGGCAACGATGAAGGTGACCTCCTGCGTCCTGCGTCCTGCCTTGTTCTGGGCCACGCAGGTGAAGGCGCCTGAATCTCCCTCCTCTGTGGGACTGAAGACCAGATCCAGGCCATCCTGGTACACTCTGCCCTCTGTGGGCACCCGCTGGCCTTCTCTCTCCCACCAGACCTCGGGCTCAGGTTTGCCGCGCGGGGGACGACAGGGTACCCGCTGCAGGGTGTCCGCTGTGAAAACCTTCGACATCTTAGGCGACATTTCCTCTATCTCTGTAGCGGAGAGGAAAGAGGGCGGGAAGCGTGAAGTAGCCATTTGAAAGCTGAATGAAATTGATTTCCATTTACACAAGGCCCCTGATAATTATCAATCTGTCTTCAAAGCCACTGAAGCATTACTGATTTTGAATTTCATGAGCAGCCCCAAGCACACTTAATTCCAACTCACAGTTCTGTTAACGGATTTCCTGTCTTGTTAGGAAAAGTCCTCTGATTTGTAGCACAGGCCACAGTAATTAGAGAACAAAGTGCACAGTAGGCGAACTGAGTATATAGGTTGTATGGGAATTAACTAGGGCCTGTGTGAGGTGGGTCATATCAAAACTGGCAGCCCCTATACAGAAAGTGGAATGTGATCTGCGGTACAAGAACTCACAAGACCTCCCGCTACTGTGTGGTTTAATACTGTGTGTGTCCCAAATGGAAGTCATTAATACTTTATTGGCCAACAACGCTCTGAAAGCTGGTCAGTGGCTGCGACCTTCTATGAGTCGAAGATCTAAATCAATTAATGAGAACAGAAGAAAACATGCATTTCTCGGCAGATGAAAGAGAAGTGGAGCTGGGCGAGGAGGGGGAGGGCAGTAAAATGAATGGAGGTGGAGCTACGATGGAGTGACTGTTTAAACTTGTCCCCTAAATACTGAATTCTACTGTGACACAATCCCCTATAATGCCTGCAGGGATTACCATCAGATTAAGTGAATTAAGGTATTTAGATGGAGCTGCGGTTCACTGGGTTAAAACTGCAGATACAGTCGAACCTTGTTAATCCAAAACCCTTGGGGAAAAGGGGGCTGATGGAGAAGGAATAAAGTACTTGGGACCTTAAAACGCATAGAAATTCCAGCCCTAAGCTCATTCAAAATATTTGACTTGCATGCACTTGCATTTCAAAATGCTGGCTGATTAGTAAGATGAGAAGATACTACAGCTTGTCCGTGCTATAAGCTCAAGCAGCCATTAAAAAAAGTTGTAAGGAGTTCTCTTTGGAGTCATGGTTCGACAGGAAAAGAGTGAGCGCTGCTATGTGTGATTAAACTTTGATGTGCCTGGACTTGTATATTATATTGTTTTCCCTGTGTGTATCAGAACCTAATCTTTATGTACAACCATAAATTGTTATTGTTATAGTTCATGTTTTGTTTTCACTGTTGGAAGTAGTAATTTCTGACAAGTACATTCTACTGATGTTGGATGAAAATCATGGGGCAGGTCTACTGACATTTAACGTTTCACAACATCATAATTACACTGCTCATTAGCCAGTTTGAGTCATACTGGTATGTTATCTAATGTTAACCGCTTGTTCAGCCAGGTGCTATTTCACTTGAAAGAAAGCTGGAGAAAGCTTTAGCTATACAAGCTTGGCAAACAGCTGGAGTGTTGGAGGAAATAATATAGAGGGGAAGCAGGAAAATGCTCCAGCACAGTGTGTGAGTGTGTGTGTGTGTGTGTGTGTGTGTGTGTGTGTGTGTGTGTGTGTGTGTGTGTGTGTGTGTGTGTGTGTGTGTAGTGGATACAGCTGGAACGGATGTCAATAAGGGAATGTGATTATCATCGGAGAGATCTGGCTCTAAGTGAAAGATCCCGAAGAAGAAGGGAGAGCAGAATGAGATGGAAGGCAAGATAAATATGTAACCCAAATGCCCCCTCACACTCTCAGATTACAGAAACACAGGTGTTTATCCCTCAGCAGTTCAACAACTTCGGATGTGTGTATTTGTGTGTGTGTGTACCTGCTATGAGGAGGGAGGCTTCCAGTGTAACATGGGACCCACTGAGGCCACGGCCTACACACTTGTAGGTCCCCGTGTTCCTGAGCTTGACCTGGGTGATCAGCAGTGTGCCGTTGGGGAACAGCAGCAGACTGTGGAGGAGAAACAGACAATTTAGGCTTCCAGCTCTGCCTGTTCACATCGTCTCACCATCATTGACCAACATGAAAGCATCAGCACATGTTCTTTCAAGTGCAATATCAGATCTGTCTCAGATCGCATCTGAAAATAATTCGTAGCACTTGTTTTGGCCTGCCAGGAGCACCAGAGAGTGATGATCTGCAACACAGGACAGCAGAATGCGTGCCAGAAAACTAGGGCTATCTCAACATAGGCTTTGTTTTTTGTGCTTGGCATGTTACCTTACTCTATCTGAATTGCCCTGATTCGCTAAACCCAAGCCATCTGCTGCTCCAAATAGGTTCAAATAAATGCTGCGAATGTGTCCACAAAGAACACAAAGAAAAGTGACCTACATAGTCAGTTAATTTTAAAAAGTCTTGTGCTTTCCTGATGGCTGGCCCCCGGGTTCTGGCAGGCTGAAGGGAGTATCAGTGCCAGTGACGGACGGGATGAGAAGTAATTAAAGGCTGACCTTAAGCCAGCTTCAGGGATGACAGATAAGGAGCTGCACATCCCACAAAGCACCGAAAATCAGCTCCACAGACCGGACAACTCAACAGCTTATCGAGACTCACAAAGTCGTTATAAAGATCCTGGGAAAAGTTAATATCTAAAACAGAGAGGAATAAGTAAGTAAAGGCACTGCTGGATGCATTTAGGATGTTGTGGAATTCCTGAGGAGAGTTTTCCAAAAGCAGCATTCATATCTGGTTGTGCGCTGGATTCCCTCCGGAGGGGTGATATTTCTGTGTCATCTCTCCTCTTCTTCTCTGTTCAATAGCGGGAGGGAAATGAGCTTTGGGAGCTTGTGCATGTTTCCACCCGAGAGATGGAGAACAAGTCTGTGGAACATTACTTCACACTGAGGAAACTAACTCTAAAATAACCACAAAACAAAATGAACAAAGGCAGGCTTTTTTAAAGGCAATCATCTTTATAGCTACATGGGATCCTACACAGGAAGAATTGGTGTGGTTTCACGTGTTTGCCTCCAGAGCTGGATTGACCCAAGGGGGAGAATTTTCTCTGTCTGCAAAAACAGCCGCTGGTATATTTTTTCACACTTATGAAAAACAATCTACATCAAACATTCACACATCTAGGGGGAGGGGGTTGTCTAAACAGTGCAGGTAGAAAACAGATGATGAAACATTCCTCTGGCATTATATCAGCCCAGATCAATAAACACAAGCACACAAACCACCAGGCTGCCATAGAATACAGTCTGTCTGTGTGTCTGTGTTTTTATATTCACGCTTATTACCTACCCCTCTAATATCCTGGTGCTGAGTCATCACTGCATTGGTGACCAAACCAGCCTCTGACAAGCTCATTACACAAGTGACTAACTGTTGATATTGGAATACTTCATCACCCTCGTTCACTCACTGAACACAATAATCACTTTAAAATCGAAAACCCGGCTCTCGCTCTCCATGTGGAACAGGCTGCCTACGGAGTGTGCCTATGTAGAAGCATGAGGTGCTACGAACCCTGAGGGTATCCCTTGACTCTTGGTATAGAAATTGGTTATTATCTTGTGCTTATGTGTTTGTAGGGGACATGCTGGTAAGCTGATTGTAGCTTTAGGGGGTTTTTCGCTCCTTGGGTGGACACTGGAGAGCTGTAAAGTCTTTGGTGATAGGCTGGAGAGAAAGGCTGTGTTTAAGTGATGTATAGTAGACTGCAGAGAAACTTTACTGGACTGTGTTCCAGTAATAATATTCCTGTAATGTGCAATCCATCTTAAGACTGAGTTATAACAGCACACAGAGAGTTGAGAGCACGATGCAAAGGTTCCACCTCATTGGGTTCAAAGGAACCCCCGAAGCTGGAGCTTATATAATGGTAAGAGAGGAGAGGGAATGAAGTGGGGGCAGAATGTGGAGGGAGTGGGAGGGAGAGGGGAGTATGAGATGTATGATGAGAAGGAAAAAGAGCGATGCAGAGGGGAGGATTGAGCTTTAAATATACCGAGACTTGTTTGCCAGCAGCTCGTTTTCGTGGTACCACTCCAACGTGGGGTCCGGCACGGCGGTAAACTGGCAATGGAGTGCCGCCTCCTCGTTCTTCAACACCACCTGGTCCTGAGGAGTGACCACCGGCCGTGGAAAACTCTTATCTGTTGGAAAAGTAGACAAACATCTGCATGATTACATCTGCAAGCATCAGACCATCAAGTTCCATCTGCGTGGATGCTCGTGCATCGCACCAATCTACTCCAAGCTTTATTAAAAGCTGCCAACAGCAACGTGAGGCTCTTGAGCAAGTGGCCTTCAGGTGGCAGTGTGTGTCAACACCTCAGGGGGCCTCAGGGAGACTTAATGAGGTCAGTGAACAAACCCTGCAGCTTATCTGGACCATCATCTCCTCCTTTTTTTCCCATCCTAGAATCAAATTCTCTGTGATGATCTAAAGTCACGCTATTCCAAGAAACTAGGGTAAGAAGGACTCAAGTGGGGTCAACTACTATGGAAGGAAGGGAAATCTGTACCTGAATGATCAAACTGATATATAATTTACAGGATAAATAATGAATAAGACTGGACATTTTGTCCATTGTAACAATGGAAGTTGAAGGATTTTTACAGTCAATTTGAAATAATCCATAAACTGCATAATATTTTACCTCTATTCACATTCTTTTGACCCCATTTACCCTGCCAGATGCCCTCTAAACATTTCCATTGGCTAACCCTGGACAAGGCTGATCTGGCTTGCTAAAACCAGAGATTTAGTACAGTACAACCTAGAGGAGGAGTAATTACCCCACAGATTTAAGGACATTGTTATACTCTAAATACAAAAGCTGAAGGGTGTTGAGCTTAATAAATAAATGGGAACATGAAATACCCTTAATCCAGGTTTAAATGTGTGAGTATTTCAATTATGAACAGCTAAAGGAGGTATAGTGCCAGTGGCGGTATCAGGATATGGCTACTGGTTGGTGTGAAGAAAAAGAAGGGCACACCTGGCCCACCCAGGAAGTCGGTGGGAAGGCCTTGTCTTAAAGAGCCGTGACCGTGCATTGAAAAGCTGTCTAAATCTGTCAGCCTTTCCTAAAGGTGAAGCCCTATAGAAGAGCCGAGGGTGGCAACATGGTAACTGGAAACTCGGCAATTATCCATTCTTCCTTCAACCAGGTGCTAACCTAGCGTGTCTGTGTGTGTGTGTTGCAGGTGGCTAATTAGAGTGGAACGGGGCATCAGGTTTCTTGCACAGATGTGCTACTGCTGTATGTACAGTACGAGCACTGTGGTGTAGATAATACACAGGAGGGGCTCACACTTACATAGTAAATAACAAATGTCATGTTACCAGCCTGCAGAAATACAAATAATCTCCCTATACAACAACACAGTGCAGCAGACTGTCTGCGAAAGCTACAATAAAGCAGTCAGATCAACAGAACAACAGTGCTGCTGAGGGGGCTGATATTATTGTTCGCTCTGTAGATGTTTATGATGTTTGTTTCGGTCTGCGTGGGTGGCGGAGGAGGACGGTGCTAACACACTCTCAGGTAATCGCATTAGGAACGCCATCACTGCCTCTCCGCGCGCTGTCTCACCACTAATGGTCTACGTGCCCCCTCCTCCCTCTTCTTCACCACACGTCCCGGCAGGTGTGGAAAAATTCGCGGAGAGCTGAACATATCTGATTATTAATTACACGCAAACTGGAGCTGAAAAGGATTGGTTGATTAATCAATGAGTTAATTGGTGGAAAGGTAATGAGCAAATTGCTTCTTGTTTGAGTCATTTTCAAGTAAAAATGCCAAAAACAAAACACTGGTTTCAGCTTCTCTAATGTGGGGATCTGCTGATTTATATCATTGCAAAAATGCATATAGTTGAGTTTTGGACTGTTGGTTGGACAAAACGAGCAATGTGAAGATGTTCTCTTGGGCTTTTTGAATTGTGTTAATTGTAATAATAAAAAAAAGAAGAAAATTGGTACATCAATCAATTAGTTGTAGCTTTACATGCAATGCTGTGGGGTTAATTCAGCTTAATAAGTTAAGTCATGCCAAGGGTGGCCAAAACTGTGAAACCACAGATAATTTATATGTCACAGTGGATGAAGAGAATGTTACAAAAGGCCACACACACTCACACACACACCTATTATGTTGAGAGTGAAGTTGCTGTTGCTGCAGACGTGCCCGGCTGCATTCTTGGCACAGCAGTAGTACAGGCCGTTGTCGTCCGGGCTAGCACTCTTAAAGGTGAGCGTCCTCTCCTTGTTGTTGATCTGATGGCTCTTCTCTGTCAGCTTAACCCCGTCCTTGAACCACTGGCACGTCGGCCTGAGAGGGAGAGGAGGAATTAGAGAGGATAGGCATGAGAAGAGAAGGCAACAATTGAGGAAGAGCCGGGTGATTGATGGAGCCAAAAGAGAAGAGATACAAAAGGTGAAGAATAGGAAAAGAAGAACACAAGGGCATGAGAGAGGCCAACAAGGACAGGAGAAGAGTTTTTCGGTACAGTCCTCAACACGATCCCTTAACCCTGTGAGCTCTGAACTTGAGGTGACTGGGGGAGGAGACTCACCGTGGGTGTCCATCGATGTGACAGCGCAACGTCACGGGCGCAGAGCTCTCAATCTCCCCTTCTGAGGCTGGCTCCTTCAATGTCACCCCACCACTTTCTAACCCTGTAGAAGAAGAAAAACAGAGGATAATGTAAGGAGGAGGGAGCAAGCACAGGAGCAATAAGCCAGGAGAAGGACAGGAGGAAAAATTGAGTTAAGTGGTCGTCCTGTCGTCTGTCCTCGCGGGACGCATGACAATGCTAATGGGTCCAACAGGGATGAGGGCAGAGTGGGGCACATCGCTGTGACAGCACTATGACTCGGGAACAGCGGCAGAGCAGAGAGCTACCACATCACTGGGTCCGCTTACACTGTCCTGCACTCACAAGAGCAAGCTCGGCCTTTACAGCGCTTTTTATGGACATTTAATGGACAGCTCATTGACTTACTCTGTTAAAATGGCTACTGTGCTGTCAGAGCAGCCTATAAAACAGGCAAAATGGGGGAAAAAAAGAGCAATAAGGCAACAGTGAACATTTTTTGACTTCCAACCTGATCAGGTGTGTTTACATTACAGCACCATGGGAGGAGCAAATGCCACAACAAAGTGATGAGAGGAATCACACACGCGTAACATGAAACCTGATCAATGGTATGAGAGTGACAGATGAGCAACAGAACAAATGAAAAAAACAGATGGCGGGAAATTGATCCACGGTCGTCCCCTGAACGCATCATGGTGCAGTGGGAAATGAGGAGAACAGAGCGGTTTTACTATTAAGGGTTTGACCCAGTGCACTGAGATATATAAATCAACTACATACAGTATGTCAAGAAATCATCACAGTCGCAAATCATTCCTACATTCTCCTAAAAGAAGGGTAACATATGATACACTCCCAGTGCATGATTCTTTCAAATGTCAAGACAGACTAGCAGATACAGTATATCTCATGAGGCATGTCATCCCTCTTGCGGTAAAAAAGGGCCGTGGAAGCTTCTGCAAGCCTCTTTGGTCAGAAATTCAACTGTAAAAATGCCATATTTGATCTGATGGAGACACTTCTGTTGACATAATCATTGCCTGTTGCTGGGCTAGATGCACGCTGAAGTCTGCTGGATGAATAAGTTAGTGTTTCACAGTTATTTAGAGAAACCAAAGCTGTCTCTTCTGGTGAGAGACACCTTAGATTTGGCTGTAATACAGCCTTAGCACACCTTGCTGGAATTCCCCTTCTCTTGTTGTGTGTGTTGACTACACAAATACTTGATGTTGACACTGAGTGAGAACCAGGGCTAATTGGTATTTATGTGATGATGTGTAAGCAGCGGTTCTATGACATGCAGTAACTGTACACCTAGTGTGGTTACTGGGTGCATACATCCTTTCACTGAGAGAGCAGAGTTTGTTTAGGCTTCCCTGGTTAATGCATGAGTCCATGAGGAGTGTGTATGTTATGTGTGTATTAGTGTAAGACATTTCACCATAGTGAGCTCCATTTATATGGCCTGTGGCTAAATACTGCGGCTGCATCTCTGCTGCTGTTTGGATCATCTATGAAATATGCATGGTATGAGTCTCCACCTGAGAGTGGCGGAGAGGCGGGTGGGGGAGACACAGCACCACTGTGAGGTCAGAGGGGGCGCTAGAGGAAGACCAGTCACAATGAATTACGCAGAAAACTGGCAGTGCTCTGCACCTCGGGGGATCATGGGAGACCCGTCTCCAGAGTAACAGGGCCTCCATCCCTCTTGCTCATATCCCCATCTGTGACATGATCTGCTCATTAGCTTCCTCTCAACACAGATGCCCCAACAACTGTGAGTGTGTGTGGAACAAATGTGTGTGTGTCTGTGTGTGTTTATGTGTCAGTTAGAGACGTGTTTGTATCTGTATGTGGTAGTGAGGTGTGAAACGCAGCTGATGATGCTGTGGCCCAAAGCAGGAATGCATGCGTGTAAATGTACTGTCTGACAGTTCTGCAGAGGACGCTAATTGGTTGGGTGTCTCAGTCAAGGCTGTTCCAGTCAATAACTCTGGTAGCTTAGTGAGGAGGAAGCGATGAAGGCCATCTTAGCAATGGAGACCTGGGGCCAGACACTCCAGACAGACCTGTTATTAGTGCACTGGAAACCTAAGGGGGGCGACGAAACCAGAAGGGGAAACAGTGAGTCACTGAGGAGGAGGAGAGAGTCAGAAAGAAAAAGTTTGATGGAACAACAAGTATCACCTGCAACATGACTGACATTCGTAAATGAAAACAAAAGTATTTGTTTTAACTTGCCCGGAGTAACAGGTGGGTGTCAAACTGACACAGCTGGATTTTAAAGTCACATTCTGTCCTACGTCTGTGTGTTTTTATGCTGTCTACAAAAAAATAGTGATTCAGTCGACAGATTCTAACCTCTCTGTCTGGTATGTCTTTACTGGGAAAAACCCTCTGACACCTTTTTACATTTGTAAGAAATATTTTACATTCCAGCAGCATGAGTCTGTAATAAGAGGAAAAAAACTGGGTAGGTAGTGTGCGCAGTAAGACACATCAGGGCTGAATAGACAAACAAAAGACCTATATACTATAGGACACAGTACAGGAATACACTGCTTGACCTCTGTAACCTTATAATTATTGGAACAATGAGCACTTATCCACACACACTATCTTGTGACTGTCTAAAGTTTCTACCAGTCCAGACCTATTTGGTTCTGCAGCAGGTTAAAAACCAATTATTGGTATCATTTCATTTCCAATTTGACCTGGATTTTCTGACAGTGACACATTCTAACCTTTTAGGCCGCACAAAAATCCATTCACGGTTCAGATTTCTCCAGCTGTCCAATGGACAAACAGAAGGCGCTCTTTCATAACCTATTAGTGGCAAATACTTCCCCGTAATCCCTCTCAGAATGCATGACTAAGTGTTGGAGCAGGCCTGGCAGCTAACGCCATAATTAGGGGTGTATAATTATTATGTTGGAGGCAGAACAGGAAGCTCTATCAACACAGGGATGATAACAGATGAATTGTGAGGATATTGTCAGGACAGATGCTTGGACCATTCTTCCCTCACTGTGCCAAAAGGCAGCTGTATGTGCGTGTGTTAGTCTGTTTCACTCAATGAGCTGATTTGTTGCCATGGAGAAGGGTTTCTGAAACAGACACGCAGGGTGGATTGTGTTATCCAGGGCAATGCTGGGGATAGGATTTGACAGACAGCACCATATGGGTATGGAAATAACTAAAACATGTGGCAGATTTTGTAGACTTTGCCCCAGCAAGTCGTGTGACAAAGCGTGACGAGGTGTCAGATTTTATCAGCTGTGGCTGACAGAAGTCAATAGGCCAGGCTGCAAACTACGGCAACTCAGAGAGAAGCTGCTGCTGTGACAAGGCAGAAAGAGGAGGAAAAAGGAGGGGGGGAAAAAGACACTGACACTGGAGGAAAGTCACTCTGCAGGGGAGAAGCTGACGGATGGAGCCTGGGTCATTAAGCATGAGGAGCTGCATTTTGTCAGCTCACAAAAGACAAGAAAAAAAACACGCTAGTGGTAGGAATTGTGACAGGGTGTGAAAGAGCAGAGCTGTGCTGAACGCTCTAAAATGCATCTGCTGAACTAATGTAGGTTATGGACGCATGCTGTGTGATTAAACCAAGATGGCGCGTGTGTGTTGTGGCTCTATGAATTGAAAGATTCAACAGGGAGTAAAATGCGCCTCCTTGCCTCTTTCTACTGTACGTTTCCCTTCTTCCTGCTAGCTATGTCACTGATTTCCAAAACGCTGTCAGTCTTCATCTTGTTACCGACAGTCAAGCGAAGCGTTGCCTCCAGGACCAACAAACACGCTGACAATAGTGATGCCTGAGCCTGACGCCACTGCTGGACGCGGTCTCTCCATGGAGACCCAGTGACCGGGGTGGGACAAAAGAATGAAGGGGGGCTAAAACCTCTATTAGTGAAAACAGAAGGGGGGATAATTACTCTGAATAACTCTCAACTGGCAGGATTTGCCCACCCACCATTGAGAGCAAGATAAATTAACTCTCTCTCTGCAGAGGGCGCGAGGAGGGGGAGGGAGAATCTACTCTTGTACAGTCCATGTACAGTACATATGGAATAACGCCGCCACCACCCCCCACAACCCCCCTTACAACCCACATTTACTACTACGCACGCAAACTAGCATACACATGAGCGAACGCACATGCAGGATTAATGCCGGAGGGCGTCTTTACTTTAAAGCTGTGTGCGGCTTTATCGCCCGTTAAATTTATGTTGGGGAAATATGAGAACATCTGTCATAACATGGTCTGATCCACCTAAAGTGATCTAGAGATGGACAGCTAACCCGTACATTATGACAAAGAGACAAATGTGTTGATGCACAGAAGTAGATGTAGCATACAAAAGTGATTGAGGATTTATTGCTGTACGCTACTTCACTTGTGTGTTTGATTCAGAAAAGTATGTGCTGTGCTATACGTTATCTTGTTTCTCCTTTAGCAAAGCAAATTCTTATCTGTATTCTTTTAAACCGATACAAAAGTACAATTACATTTTCCAACACAATGTTAATGTGCGGTGCACTGACAACACTACATCCATTATTATCTGCTTCTCAGCAATGTATCTGCTGCTCGTATCTGCTCTATGTACTGCATGTCTGCAGCACCGTCACATATCTGAAAAGGGAGAAATGTGCTGTCAGTGTACCCAGCGTCCTACCTATGCCCTCGTAGCGGTTTTGCTAAAAGCCTCTTCAAGCAGCCAGTTTTTAATTTGGAAGGCTACTTGATATGGTGCCCCATCAGCCCCCTCAGAGGCAAATGGAGAGACCATGCATGCAAACATGTATGCTCATTACCAAGCGCAAAAAAGGAAATATCATGTGCATTTGCAGCAATCATGTTGGAAACAATAGTCAGCTTATGAGGAGTTTCAGAGGGGACATTTCTTTTCATCTTTATTAAAGATTTATTTACACAAATCTGCGTTGACTGATTTTTTTTGTGCAGAGACAGTAATGTATTACCTGTATAAAGTGAGTATGCCAAAGCTGTTGGCAAACAGTTGTTTATTTACACATCAAGCAGATATGGAGCAACATTGGTCTTCACTTGGTCTCCACTAAGACCTGCAAGTTGCCAACTTTGCCCATCTGTTCTTTGGTGTAGGGCTGGTAGAGGTAGAGTACACTATGTTTATCACAGCTTTTTTCTGAAAACAGCTGACTGTTGAGAAATGATGCCATCGACAGCAGTAAGACAGTAAACTAACAGTGAATTTGTGAGCCAGACACTAAAAAGGTTGCACCTCATCTTATATTTACACCTCTACATTTTGACTCTTGTTGCCTCCATAATATAAAAAAATTGTTCCTATAGCCTATAAACAATTATATAGTTATGCCATTTACCAAGCTTTTCAAAAATGGATAAAAAATTCCCATGAAAATCAATAATCAATGTATTACCCACTCTTATGTAAATAAGGGCCCATATACATTTCCATGATTTATTAAGTTCAGCATGAAAAAACATTATTTTTTAAAGAATTATTACACTACCTTCCTTCCAATACAAATATGCCTCTCTTTTCCAATGCGTGGGAATATTAATGACCTGGCAGCTCTTAAGAACTGGTGCTTCATGTCTAACTAGTTTTTCTTTTTTTGTTTTTTTTTAATCTGTGGGAGTATGTCAGTTGAGCTGTATTGACACACTAGATCATGTTTAATTGCAACACATAAAAGCAGCTCCCTTCAGATCAGACATGGTTTGGAAAACTGATGTGCTTCTTTGGTCCGTCTGGCTAAAACTTTTAATCATTTAGACTCAACATCACAGACCACAAATATCCAGTGGTGGAAGACACATCATACAGCAGGGGTTAAACCTCTGCTATCCCACTCCGCCTGTCCCTCTCAGTCTGTCTCTCAGTTTACTACTAGGAGGTCTGGACACTCATTGGCTCTTGTAATCCGCCTTTGAACAATTAACATCACCGCAAAGAAAAACCTTGCAGGCTGAATGTAGCTAGAGAGGACAACATATTCCAGATGGAGCCATTTTTCACTCTGCTTTGCTTTGTTTTCTTCTGCCATCGGTACAAACTTAGTGTTTGTGAGACACAAAGGCTTTTGAGTAACAACTGGTACCTGAGGGCCTTCCACAATACGTGAACAAGGTTGTTATTTATCCCAACCAGGGCTGTGCAGAATTCCCATGGCTTCCTCTGAAACTTAAGAGGGTCATACGAGGTTTGGTTATGGGGCTAAACAACAAAATTAAGACACCAGTGTTCCTCCTTTTGATAGGATAAAACATTCAGAAAGTGGCGGAGTGAAAAGCCTGACATTAATAAAGAATGCTGAAGTAAGAAGGGCAGTGTTCATCTAAAACTAAATAATTATATAGCTGGGAAGGAAATTACAGTTGCTCAGTAATTTCCAGACAAAAGCCTTTTGATAGTATATGGGAAAAGAGAGTGTTATACAACGGAGGAAGAAAAAAAAAAAAGATACAAGCAACAAGAAACACATGCTTGGTGGCACACATATCCAGTTTCCTTTGGAGAGAGGGAGAGGAAGCCACAAAGAACAAGGCAACAAGGTGGAAACATTCCTTCAGCTCATACTACCTGTCATCTTATACTGTGACTTTGTTTTGCTTTTTTGATCCAGAAACTGGATGCACACCCTCGTTGCCATTATGAAACCCTGTCAGCTGGCAACTTTCACTCAGGAGGGTTTTTTTGTTGTTTTTTTCTAAAAGGGAGGATGAGAACGGCTTGAAACGAAACACTCACACTTGATATTGAAGGAGGCATTGGTGGAGTGGAGCAGCTCTCCCGTGGCCTCGTTCCGTGCGACGCACTCGAAGCTCCCTGCGTCCAGCTGGCGATCCACGGCGGTGAACTTCAGGTTGCTGCCCTCCATGAAGCGCCTCTCGCTGTTTTGCAAGGGCTGGCCGTTGTGGTGCCAGCCGTATGTGATGTCGGCCGGATCACTGACCTCGCAGCGTAGCATGGCGCTGCGGCCATGCAAGGCATCCTGGGACTTGGGCTCCTTGGTGAACTGGATGGTAGCAGCGTGGATGGCCAGAACTGGAAGAGGAGGAAGAGAGAGAGAGAGAGGGAAAGTAAATGACAGAGGATTAGAATGGATCTGCTGTTAACATTTTACTGCTTTTTCCGTTCATTAAGTGTGTGCCATAGCGACCACTTAGCCTTGCGGAGGAATGCGATGTTTAGACAATACTGGCTAGCTGTGAATTATTTTGTCGTAAAATTATCAGACCCAACGCGGAGAAAATACGTTTTCCCGTTAGTGGGGCTATGACGTGATCACTCACACTCACACTCACACACACACACACACACACACACACACACACACACACACACACACACACACACACACACACACACACACACACACACACACACACACACACACAATCAGCTCAGGGAGACGCATCTCTCAAACAAGACCACGCACACTTACATTTTTTATTTCCCCCCATGATGCTGTGTACAAGCTCTGTGTGAGAGACGTGTTTTCTGCTCTATTTACCCTCATCTCAGTGGAGAAAATGACATGAGTGTGACTTGGTCTGAGGCTGAAAGAACACTTCACAGTCAGTTCTCTACGCTACAGTTAGAAGCCAAGAGTTCACAAAACACAAGATACTGAGGACAGATAATGAAAACAGAAGAACGGAGTCACAGTACGATTAGATTTGTTTCGTCCGTGTGTGTTTCCCATTTTTATTTTTCCTTTTTTTTTTTTTTTAAATATCAGTCACGGAACAACTCGAACTTCAAAGAGCACTGCAGTAGTATGTGTTAACAGAGTTATGATCAACATCCATCAGCTAACAAATTAATCTTCATATTTCATGATTCTTGGATTAAGAAACACGAATGTTTTCTTTGTAAAATTGCCAGTCACTCGCTTATTCCAGCTCAATGTAATACAGTCACACCCCTCCACCTGAAAATTCCTGTATACTTCCTGTTGAAGGGCCAAAAAAAAGACAACATATTAATCATCATCACTAATATGTCTTTCATGAGAACAACTCCAGCTGCACTCTGTCATCGTGTTTTAGCAGCTACCACCATGAACTGCTCATCAATAACCAACTCCACAGTTTGTCATAGCCCTCATGTGTCCTGCCCAACACAATGTTATCATACCTGAAGTCAAGGTTTGTTATCATAAGGAAGGGTTCACCGCTAGAGTCAATTAAGCATACCTACACCTGCGTAACGGTGTGTGTGCATGTGTGTGTGGTGGAGGTCTTCATGGTCCTCTTGCAGGCAAAAAGCCAAGTAAAAAGGAGGATCTTTCAATAATGTTAAATCAAAGAGCCTGCTGAAGACGAGCCAAGGTAATTCCTCCATCTTTGACCCTCCTAATCCCACCGCTCCTGTCCTTCTCCTGCCTGTGCATCTCTTCATCAGGCTCACCTTTGTCTCAGCTGCAGGTGGCTCGAGTCGACAGACACGCAGGCAGAGGAAGACGCAGCAAGGCAGAAAGGCCGATCAAGCATGCCAGGTGAAATAAGCTTGCCTTAAATGCCCCCTTTACCTTACATTCTGCAGACAGGAGGAAGATCTATACATAGGTAGAGATCTAAAAATATACCAAACAGTTAGCTTGAGATGTGGACCGCTGTGAATAATGTCAGCAAGAATAAAATACAGAATCTACCATCAAATACTGCGCTAGAAATAAAGAGGAATGTCTGGGTGTTATTGCACATGAATGTCTCCAGCGTAAGTAAAGACAAAGTGAACACAATGTGCGTTAAAGCTAAAAACTACTGCTGAATGCCTCCTCACTTAGCATGCCAGCAACTGCATTAAAGAGCTATCCTGATAAGAAAATAGCTAAAACAATAGCCACTTCTCCTTTATTTAAGGACACAAGACAGCAATCCCCATGAAACGCTCTCCCATGATGGTACAAATCCGCACACATCTCCACTGATGCACAGTGTAAGATTAGCACAAGAAATGTGTCCCTTCAAGGCCCAAACACAAACACGCTCAGTCTGACAAGGTCACTCCATGTGCAGGCAGCTGGAGTGAGAAAATGTTCCCTGGGAGTAAGGATTTTACAGACAGCTATGACATTAACGTCAAACTGATCAAAGCAGTCATGCAGTACTTCTCCGAAGTCCAGAGAACAACAACTGAATATGTCAGACCATCACCATCTGTGCTGCCCAACATGTCACATTTCCTTGAGAATGTCCTGTTGGACCTTTGCTATGACTGGTCTTTGTAAAGCACTTTTATATGAATTCACTTCGGGATTTAGATATCTATCGCCAACTGGTCACACAACTGGTCACACATTTTTTCATTTGGTAAAACAGCTACATAGCAACTGATGAGAAAATGACACTATACTTCAATGTTATTATTTTTAGTCTATCATAATTTCCCCAGGTCTGCCAGACAGGTGGATCGATGGCTTCTTTGGGGGAAGGGGAATTGAGTTTTTTCCCCCATGGAGACACTGTATTAGAGGTCACACAGTACAATGACCTTTCTTTCAGCAGTAAATACAATGTGGGGGAGAAATGTACGGGGTCCAGGAGAAACACCTGCTTCCAGATGATTGGCTTTTACGTTACTGTATCAGGCCAAAATATCTCACTTCCTCACCTTAATTTGTGCCAGCTAGACTGAAATGACAACCATCTTATAATGTGTTTCCATACATAGATTTTAAATTTAGTTGTGTTAAATTAAATCAAATTAAATTTCTTTTTCACATTTTCTGTCATGCTCTGTCTCAACATGGGAAGACAGTCTTGTGAGAAGGTTTGAGCTAACTAAATCATTCTTCCCTCATCTGAAATGAGCTCTAGTACGGTTGCTTCACATGATTTATTGCACAAAGGATTATTCTAACTTCACTTCTGTACAAGAAAGTGGTCTCAAACTATTCTCCTAAGAGTCTGAATTTGTTCCATCTGTGTAAAGCTGGGATAAAAGGCAGCAGATGGGTTGGAAACACCAACAGAGTCATCCCCAACATCCACCTCAAACAATCTATCAAGTAATGTTCACAGACAGCGCGCTGCCTCCATGCCAAGCTTACAGCTGGGGTGTGAGGTAGCGTGCCAACTTCCATCACACTGAGCCTCCTCTGTGTACGGTGATGTTGCAAGCTTTGGTAAAGGAACGGCAGAGCTGTGGCATGCAGTTGATGGTTTCATTTGAGATGCACGTTGACATACAGTGTGTGTGTGTGTGTGTGTGTGTGTGTGTGTGTGTGTGTGTGTGTGTGTGTGTGTGTTTAGACAGGGAATTACTCCTGGGAAAAGTTCCAGCAGAGACAGCACATACAGATAAGGTGTTTTCACATACCACAGGATGACAGACAAGAGGGAGAGAGAGAGGGTAGAATGAGGCACAGTCAATCACATCTGAGGAAATCTGCCAAGTTTACTGTACTGTTCAAACAGGGAAGGCATCATGACCTACATCTCTCAAACACACCGAGGCCCTGCATTTCTAACACTCATATAAACAGACTTCAAAAGGCATAGACATATAAAAGCACACAATCATATACAGCTGCCATCCCCAATACCCTCTACCACCATGACGTAGGCACACTGAAACAGACTTCTAAAGTTGTGTGTGTCTGACCAAATCAATACAGTTTATTTGGTTCATGCTTTTCATTGAGTCACACAAGGGCTGGAGGAAAGGGAATGCTTGGCTGTGCACAGAGTGACATTTCAAAGAGATAAGCGGGGCCAATGGTATCCAAACTCCGACCGAGGGCCCTTCAAAGTGAGAGTGGTTGAAAGGGAGAGTTATAGATAAAGGGCGAGACAAACATTGGGGTGGGGAACACATGATGGGAATGCTCTTGTGACAAAAACTCTTCAATGCTAGGACTAAGGTGATGAAAGGAGGACATTTCTTGAACTAACCATAGAACAAAGAACTACAGTTCGGTTAAATTAGAATAAATTATCAAAGGTGCTGTGTGGAGTTTTTGGAGCATCATGGGGCATTTTTTATGAGGGGTTTCCCATTTTGTTTTGTTTTGTTTACACATTCCTCACATCGGTTTCACGCTATTCTTTCGAGCGACAGTCAGTGGGTGTAACACGCAAAGAAGCGTAGCAATGTGCCATGAAAGGGAGTGAAGAAGACTGTAAGCTATCAAACATGAATGTAAACAATGCAGGATTAAAAAATAAATAATCAGCTTGGCAAATGTTGTATGAGGAATGAAATGCATTCAACATGTTTGTTAGACCTCACGGGTACACATATTGAGTTTTGATGAGAAACACTGAATGTAAACATAACTTTTGTTTGTTTTAAAGAAAACTCCACAGAAAACCTTTAAGTTTTAGCTTTTACCAATTAATATTCCTATAATGGTTTCATTGGTAGATTCTTTTCAGGATGAATAGTTTTGTCTATAAAATATCTTTAAAAAAATATAATGGCCCTTGTTTGCTTTGACCAACCAATAATCCAAATCCCAGATATTTAATGTAAAACGATCCAAACAGACAGAGAAAAGCTGCTGGACCCAGTAAATGTGCAGCATTTTTTCATGACAAATGACTTCATAATTAATTAATCATTGAGGTTTCCACTGTCTGACTATTCAATTAGAGTCTTTTTCTAACCCAAAAAGCTTCATAACAGGAAAGGAATATGATGTCTTAATAAATCAAAGCTGGAAAAAACTGTGCAAGGCGCGAGCACTCCTTCTCCAGGGAGCCTCCATCTATTTGCAGATAAGGAAAAAAAAACAGAAAACAAAAAACTGAGTCCTGACTCTGATTCCAATCAATATGCACTTGCTGGGTAAAGCACACGACGGATACGCTAATGCACCCAGATGAGCAGTGATAGTCATGAAATATTAATAGTTCTTTGTTTTCAAAATAGTTTCAGTTTCCCCGGATTTCGATCAACGTATCAGGAAAGAAGTTGGATGAACAAGAAAGTAGGTTAAAGATGGAGGGGGAAACTGCTGAGAGGGGTAAAATATCTGCACACAGGGATTCTCCTCTTCAACTCACTGCACTGCCGACCCCATTAAGCCTGGCTCG